CTGAGCTCATGGTTGTGGCCCCCAAGGCACTGCTCCGGAAGGTTGGGGATCTCCTCCTCCACATTGACGGCTGTTCCATCTCCCCGTCTCCCGAAGTCCGTAACCTGGGTGTCACCCTTAACTCCACTCTCTCATTTCAGTCACATATCAGATCCGTCACCAAGTCTGCCTTCTATCACCTGAGGAACATCTCCCGTCTACGACCATCACTCTCCGATTCCGTGGCCGAGACCCTCATCCATGCATTCGTCTCCTCCCGGTTGGACAACTGCAACGGAGTCCTGTTCGGGGTTCCTAGTAAAGCCCTGGACAGGCTCCAGTATGTGCAGAACTCGGCTGCCAGGGTGCTCACTCACACCAAACCCTGGCAGCACATCACCCCCACCCTCATCCACCTCCACTGGCTCCCAGTCAAGCACCGTATCACGTATAAACTCCTTCTTCTGACCTACAAATCCCTCCATGCCCTCGCCCCCCAATACCTGTCTGACCTTCTCTGCCACCACACTCCATCCCGGAAGCTACGATCGTCTGGACAGGATCTCCTCTCTACCCCCCGCACCAGGTTGCGGACTTTCGGTGACAGAGCTTTCAGTGTAGCATCCCCCACCCTCTGGAACTCTCTCCCCCCCCGAAATCCGCAGCGCCCCAACCCTGGACACTTTCAAAAAAGCCCTCAAAACGCCCCTTTTCACACTATATAGTTAGTTTGATAGGTTTATTTTTCCGCTACTTGCCCCACCCCCTCCTAACCTGTCTGCCTCTTTTCCCTGACTCCCCCCCCTACCCGACTTGTAAAGCGACCTTGGGTTTCGTGAAAGGCGCTATATAAATATTATGTATTATTATTATTATTATTATTATTATTATTATTATAGAAATTGCCGGATGCTGACTTTCATATATTGGGCAATTTGCACAATTAGCATAAATTGCATCAATTAGCATGAATTACCATTATAGCCTATGGGAACACTAGTTTAAAAATGGTCGATTTGGATAATACTGGAGTGGTTTTGGGGGTAGTTGAGGATGCTCTCATTTTCAGGGTCAAAAATGGCATTTTAACCAGAAAATCTCCACATAATGCCATTCATTTGAATTAACGTAAATTATGTTAATTGTGCAAACTACCCAAAATATGCAAGTTAGCATCTGGCAGTTTCTCAAGTGCAGGGGATCTTAACCCTAGATTTAAATAAATTATAAAACTTTGGTGTACTTAACATTTCCGGGTTCCCTAAGCTGGCAATTAGACTATTTCCTATGACACTTTGCCAAAGAAGCAAAAAAGAACAAAAGCAGGACTGAAGAGTTACAGTGAGAAATAGCCAAATGTAATGAGTACCTCAAGTCAATGGTGTTGAGTCCGATGAGTGTGTCTGCCAGCAGCCCTGCCTCCTCTCCCAGCATGATCGCTCCGTCTTCGTAAAACCTCCTAGTCAACACACGTGCGTACATTATTGACATTGATTCAACTCCTCCAGATCTCAACAACTGATGTGTGATACTAGACATCTGGAGTTCAAGTGTAAGAAGATCTAAATGATCCGGCAGCATGGTAATATTGTAGATTAACTTCCTAAATAAACTTGATTTAATAGTATGTCAACATTATATGGTTGAAGGGGAAACAAACAGGTTGGACAGTGTGTGAACATTAAGACCTGGTGATTTTGAGGTCCCTCAGTGCAGATGAGATGTATTCTGATAATCTTTTCTCCATCAGGACCACTCTGATCCACGCCCTGCCCTGCAGAGAGAGACATTGAGCTGTTAGTGGACGCTCAAACAGTTCATGACCTGAGCGAGTGTTTGTGTGTCTTGTTCTCACCTACAGCCCCATTGTAGAACAATATTAGCTCCAGTTGTTTGTTCCCTTTCCCCCAGGGTTAGACTGAGTCATGTTTTATGTGCATTGGTGTTCTTAACATTTATTTGCCTTTCCTTTTTAGCTTTTCTGAGTGGATAAATCAAAAGAAAGCAAAAATAACAGCTCCTGCTTGTGCAGTATGCGTGTGCTGTATCCATACTTGCCAACCCTCCCGATTTTCGCGGGAGACTCCCGATTTCATTGCCCTCTCCCGGTTTCCTCCCGGGGTCATATTTCTCCCGCATTTCTCCCAATTTCTGACAAAATCAGATTTACTCAGGACTGTTTCCACTCAGACTTTAATACAGCTACACCATTGTTTGGTTTCCATGGTAGCGCGTCTCTTTAGCAGCACGCGCAACTGAAAGTCTGAGAGGGTGAGGAAGATAGTCACAGAAAACAGAACAAGAATCGACAACTCTGCTCACTCCTTTCCTTTAAAATACAGGTCCAGCCCACACATATGCTCCATCAAGGATGGTGCTACAGGCCGCAAGGCAGTGCACATACAACTACAATAAGCATGTTAATGTTAATCTAATACAGCTCCGGCGATCCACTAGCACCCCCCCCACCCCACCCCCCGCGGCGGTTTTGAAATGCTCCCGATTTCTGAGGTCTCAAGGTTGGCAAGTATGGCTGTATCTCAGGATACTGTAGAAGATGCAGTGCTGCTTATATAAAACTGATAATGCTTGTATACACATTATATACATCTAACCTAACGCTTTGTTTGAATTCAACTTTCTGATGTTGTGAAGATTCAAGTTATTTTCTTTCCTGCTGCCCTGGGTAATTAAATCTGATGTCAAGATTTTTCTTATACTCACTTTAGCTCTCGATGATCGCACATTCTCCATACTCTCGATGCTTCGGATGCAATTATGAGGGACTTTGCTGCAGGCGGATTTGATGTAATCCCAGAAACTGCGAGGACTCTCATAGCCGAACCAAGTTGTCTGACCTGAGAGAAAAAGAGACAGAGGGTTTTTTCATAAGCTTGCATGCATAGTGCTCTGAACTTTAAAAATGAACAAAGCTATTACGTACTTGTTATTCAAATGTCAGTGGATATAGTTATATATTTTTTTTAACAGAACAAATCAATTGAAGTGACATAAATAACATGAAGTTTTCATCACAGCACCATCACTGCGACAATGAAAGTGGTGAATGACATTACGAGTATCTTAGATAATAAGCAGAGTTGTGCAGCTCTATTTATTGACCTTTCCAAAGCGTTTGACACCGTTGATCATCGCATTTTGAAGCAGAGGCTGCTCAGTATTGGCATATCCAGCCATGCAGTAGGGTGGTTTGTGAACTACCTCTCTGAAAGGTCCAAATGTGTTCACTTTGATGGGCTGTCTTCTGAGTGGTTGAACATTGCTAATGGTGTTCCTCAAGGTTCTGTTTTAGGTCCACTTTTATTCTCCATATACAGTTGCAAGAAAAAGTATGTGAACCCTTTGGAATTACCTGGATTTCTGCATAAGTTGGTCATAAAATGTGTTCTGATCTGCACGTTTTAAGTTTGCAAAAGAGCACCTGGATGTTCCACAGCACTACTGGCAAAATATTCTGTGGACAGATGAAACCAAAGTTGAGTTGTTTGGAAGGAACACACAACGCTATGTGTGGAGAAAAAAAGGCACAGCACACCAACATCAAAACCTCATCCCAACTGTGAAGTATGGTGGAGGGAGCATCATGGTTTGGGGCTGCTTTGCTG